AAGAAATTATATATTATATATTATATAAATTATATATTTACTATTATATATTATATATTTTACAAGGTAAAAATAAGACTATTTCCATGACTACTCATTGAGACAAGATAAAGCCACCATTAAAAATCAGCTAAGAAAACATAAATACAAGATTAGCCATAACCAAAACTGGAGTTATATTTATAGATAAAAACACACACATATAATCAGATTGTAACAGACATATGGCTGACTTATCTCTTAATTAAGCCCCACACTGACTTACCTGTATAAACAAAATTGCAAATTGTCTAAAATTGTAAAACCGAAAAACACAATAAACTTATGTTAAGAAACCTACACTGGGCCAGGTGTGGTGGCTCACACCTGTAATCCAAGCACTTTGGAGGCCAAGGCCGGCAGATCACCTGAGGTCGGGAGTTCAAGACCCGCCTGACCAACATGGTGAAACCCCGTCTTAAAAAAAGAAAAAAAAAAAAAAAAAAAAAAAAAAAAAAGAAACCTACACTGAGAAATAACACTGATATGAAACTACAAAACAATGTTTACTCATAAAATCTGGTATGCAAAATTGATGATGCACTAACAAATAATTTGTGTCGATAACTGCAATAGTTTACTGTAACTGTGTACTCATTGACAATGACTCTTTTGAATCATTGGCATCCACTGTAATGCAGTAAAGTTTCAGATAAAATGCAGTATAATCATAAACAGAAGATTGCAATGACACACTTTTGATAAATAAGCATTTTAATAAATGAGATATTTTTAAGTTTTAAATATGTAATATTCTTACACAAAATAAAACTTCTCTAACCTAACTTTAGAAGCAAAGAACAGGCTTACATTGCTAAATAAAGAAAAAATATACCATAATGGACAGCAAAGAAAGAAAAAATATATATACATATGTATGTATATTTTCAGAATCTATATATATTTTTTCAGAATATGATCAGACCCTCTGATATATAAAAACAATTTGGAAATAATTTGTTACATTTTAGATATAGGCAGACAAAAGTGAGTGAAAATCCTATAACCTTTTTTATCTGCCTATATTTCCTTTTTGCCTGCCTACTAATTATTCAATTCACTTCAGGCATAAAATGTAAATTCTAGTATATTGTCCTAAATGTCTACATCTGAAATTACAGACTAAATCAAAATAGAAAGTAAAAATGTACAGGGAGAGTGACATCACTAAGGTGGAAAAATAAAAGGTGTCCTATTTGCCTATTTTCTGACAGCAAGAAAATTTGTCATCCATCCCTAACAAAAATGCCTTTATGAGAAAAACAGGAATCATGGCTCCAACCTGTAATGACAGCTACGTGGTACATTAAGTCAGAGAACTGCTTCATGCCAGAATTTCAAGACCAGCCTGGGTTACATAGCGAGACCCCATTTCCAAAATAAGTGCCCTTAAAAAAGCTTTGAGATCCAGGGGGGGATTTGTGAAACTCTGCTAATGCCCACGATTGAGGAACATTCTTTTCAGAAGACAGGCTTTTATTCAGGTGGCAAACTACAGGATCCCTGTTCTTGGCTATAGACTCAGTTGTAGTTCCCTGAGCCACAGTGCACGGCAAGTTCTGCTGATGCAGAAACCCACAGTGACCTTTGGAAATCCTCTCTGGTACTCGGTGGAAGCCAAACTCATCTACATCCTAATTTAAAGCCTACCATATGTAGACCCAATTGCAGAAACCTCCCCACATTTTGCCAAACAAAGCAAAGTCCTAAAGAATATTCACTATATCCAAAAATAAAGTGGGAATTACAACTACCCAATCCCCTTGTAACAAGCCAACTAAAGGCGGACCCTAATGCAGAACCAACAGCCTTTGTGATCAAGCTACAACCTCTCTACACTACAAACACATGGGGCATCCCATCACCCTGGGACTCAACAAAAGACCTTCACTTTCTGAAACCAGTTTATAAAAACTTGAAGAGGTGTTTGTTCCTTCAAATTCACAGACACCAATGCAAAAGTATATTGTGTCTATTCTCAATGCTTCTATTTTAACATAGCACTGGAAGTAGGTGCAATAAAAATTAGTCAAAAAAAAAGTTTTAAGTCATTGAAATTAAAGACAAAAAAGTAAAAAGTTGTTTTTTGTAGATCATTTGATCTTATATAAAAAAACATAAACAGTATTTTAAAAACTAATTAAAATAATAATTACACAACAAACTAGCAAAATAGAAAATTAACATAGAAGTTATGGTTTCATACACTTTAAATAAACTATCTGATAAAATAGAGAAACGAAGCGATCTTACAATAGCACTAAAATAATAAATTTCTAAGAACAAATGTAATGTAACCAAGGAGCTTAAATATATTTCAAATAAAAGATACATCAATTAAAAACTTGAAATGACAAAAATAAATATAAAAACATTTTATGTCTATTGATTGAAAGAATATTGTTAAAGTACCATGTTTTATCTATAGTGATCTTTAGATTCAATAAACTCCCTATCAAAATTCCAGTATTTTCTACAGTAAAACAAAATGCCATTCTAAATTTCATATAGAACTACAATAAATGTTGAATAGCCAAACCAATCTTGAAAACAAAGAACAAAGCAGAAGAACATCATAATGTATAATTTTAAACTATACTTAAAAACTATAAAAGACAAAATGTATTGTGCAGAAAAATTAGCAACACAAAAACAATGGAACAGAAACTACTACTCTCACACATCTTAGACATGTTAAGAGAGAACTTAAAAAACAGTTTAACATAAAGTTTCTCAAAATTATGCAGGTATCTCTGTGTTTTCAAAAACAACAAAAAAGTGATCATATTTTGCAGTCTCTTACATGCCACAAACAGGCTGTCACTGTAAATGTGAAGAAAGGTTACTGAAGGAAAGTAAACTCTTTAGAGATTTTAAAAAGATAACACAGAAGATGTTTCCATGTGAGAGCACAAAAAAACAAAAAATAAAAAATAAATAAAAAATCAGGCTTCCTAAAAACTATTTCCTTTGAAACACAGATTTCCAAATCATTTTAAGAACTGGCTTTTTTCTTATTTTATACCTCTCATCTGTGTCGTCTGCTGCACTCACTTTCACTCTTACCTACCTGGGGCTTTGGCTACCATCTCATGTCTCTTCACATTCCAAGGTTCTTTTCCTTGCTCCAGACAGGTGATCAGGTCTGGCTTAGAGGCAGCAATATCTGCTTTATTAAAAATTACATGAATCTTGCTCATATTCTCCAATTACCAACCTAGTAGTGTGCTCAGTAAAAAGAATGTAATAGAATATTCTAGCAAAATGCCTCTAAAATACTAATTTATAACAAAAAATTTAAAATATTTAGAAAATATTTCAATTTTGTAAGTTCTTAATTTCACTACCTGGTACTACTAAATCAAAAATTAGTAGTGGCAATCAGATTTTAAGATGTGGGCAACAGTATGTTATACCACTAAATTTCTAAAATTAACACTAATCTAGAGTGAAGGACACAGATCAGCTCCGGAGTGTGGAAAGTTCAGGTCAAAAACACCTTAAAATTCTTTTTCACTAGACAAATCTTGATTTTTTTTTTCTTAAACAGATCTGAAAGCAAAAATTGCCAAAAATTATTCTACAAAAAAAGAAAAAGAAAAGAAATAAAACTTACAGAATATATCAGGAAATTGTGTTTTGAAGTTATGCTCACCCAGGAAGACCAGGTTTCTGTAGTTCTCTAACATCACATTTCTATATAAATTCTGCTGTGCTGTGTCCAGGCATTGCCACTCCTCCAGAGAGAATTCTACGGCCACATCCATAAATGTCAACACTCCCTGAAAAACATACACCCACATGCATATTTACCAAGTGACCATGAGAAGAATTTTTAATTTGACTCAAGGTAAATCAAGAATAAAGATAACTGGTTCTTACTTACAGGAGTGACTGACAACATCTAACAACTTTCAACACAGAAATATTCTCTTATGTATTCTCTAACTCTGAGAAAAGACAGTGGCATAAGATCTACAACATCAACACATAGATGGTACTTTTCTGGACAATAAAGTATAAAACTGAGGGCATAAACACTAACATGTACATTTTTGAGTGTTATCTTTACATTATACAGAATGAGTTGGGTAAATTTTTCAGATGAAAAAGACATACTGAGTTAGAAAGTACTGCGCAAATTTTAATGTGTACAATAAAAGGGAGATCTTATTAATGCAGATTATTTTTTCAAAAAATCTGGAATAAAATCTGAGTCTCTACCAAGCTCACTACTAATGCCAATGTTTTTGGTCAAAGAAAATTATTTTGTCAAACATCCAGTAAGTGCAAGAGCCGCCATATTTTTCAGTGTTTCTGGCCTGTAAAGAAAGATGAGAGCTTCATTTTCCAAAGACTGATAAATACAAAGAAAACCTAAGAAAGGGCAGCTGCCAGATTGAAAGTGATTGTTTATCCATATCAGCTGCATAAAGATACTTAATAATGAAGAGAAAAATAATTGTCTATTAAAAAAAACTGTCACAAAGCTCATTAACCAAGTGAGTTATTAACATCAATTGCATGAAGACAAATTTCTATGATGTTCGGAGGCAAATCAATTCTATGGTGTGCAGAAGGTTACAGCATCACTGCCCCCTCCAAAGTAAATTATAGTCTAAATTTAACGATAAAGAAACATCAGTTTGGCTGGGCATGGTGGCTCATGCCCGTAATCTGAGCACTTTGGGAGGCTGAGACAGGCAAATCACGAGGTCAAGAGATCAAGAGCATCCTTGGCCAATATGGTGAAACCCCAATCTCCACCAAAAATACAAAAATCACAAGCATTTCTATAAGCCAAGAAAGAACATTCAGAGAGCCAAATCATACATGAACTTCACAACTGCTACAAAAGAATAAAACACCTAGAAATACATCTAACAAGAAATGAAAAGGCCCTCTTCAAGGAGAATTACAAACCCCACTGCTCAAGGAAGTAAGAGAGCACACAATCAAATGGAAAAACATTCCATTTTTATGGACAGAATAAACATCAGGCCGGACATGGAGGCCCACACCTGTAATCCCACCACTTTGGAAGGCCAAGGCAGGTGGATCACCTAAGGTCAGGAGTTTGAGACCAGCCTGACCAACATGGAGAAACCCTAACCAACCTGGAGAAATCCTGTCTCTACTACAAATACAAAATTAGCCGGGTATGGTGCTACATGCCTATAATCCCAACTACTGAGGAGGCTGAGGCAGGAGAATTACTTAAACCCAGAAAGCAGAGGTTACAGTTAGCTGAGATCAAGCCACTGCACTACAGCCTGTGCAACAGGGCGAGACTCCATCCCCAAACACCCAGGAAAAGAAAAAAAAGAAATACAAATAATAATAACAACTCTTCTGTTAATAAATATCCCTTAATGTAAAAATATCAGCAGTCACAAAAATATAAAGAAAGTCAGGGTCAGGTGCTATGGCTCATGCCTATAATCCCAACACTTTGGGAGGCCGAGGCAGGTAGATCGGCCTGAGGTTGGAAGTTTGAGACCAGCCTGACTGTGGAAAACCCCATCTCTACTGAAATAAAAATACAAAATTAGCGAGCCATGTGGCGCATGCCTGTAATTCCAGCTACTAAGGAGGCTGAGGAAGGAGAATCGCTTGAATCCAGGGGTCAGAAGTTGTGGTAAGCTGAGATCATGCCATTGCACTCCAACCTGGGCAATAAGAAAAAAAACTCTGTCTCAAAAAAATTAAAAGTAAAACTAAAGTGGTCCAAACAAAGCCCAAGTTTTTTTGCACACATCTATTTACTGTACTCACCATATAATGCATAATTCAACCTTTTATCCAGTTGCTAGTATAGACTAAAAGTTTCTGGATGGTAGGAACCATGTCTGCTTTATCTACTTTTCTAATGACTATATGAAATGAAAGCAATTGGTTGATGTGCCTGAGTCTCCTGACCTCCTCTTGTTTTTCACTCAAGTACAAGGAAACTGGAGAAACTCTCATTTGGGCACCAACCAAAAACATCTCTTGTATGAGGTGAGAAATAAACACAGAATGAGTCATTTTTCCTAGACTGAGACAGAAGAATTTAACCACTCTTGTCAGCCTAATAAAATTCTGCTCTGGGCATTCTCAAATAACTCAAAGATGCCTAGGTGATTGTGAAGTGTGATAGGATTCCCAGTGACCCTGTGCTGCTGGCTCAATAAGTCAGGCAGGAGAAAGTCAGGCTCTGTTTTTTTTTTTTTTTTTTTTTTTTTTTTTGAGATAGAGTCCCCTCTGTTGCTCAGGCTACAGTGCAATTACGTGATATTGGCTCACTGCAACCTCTGCCTCCCAGGTTCAAGTGATTTTTCTGCCTCAGCCTCCCAAGTAGCTGGGACTACAGGTACACGCCATCATGCTGGACTAATTTTTATATTTTTAGTAGAGATGGGGTTTTGCCATGTTGGCCAGGCTGCTCTCAAACTCATGACCTCTGGTGATCCATCCAACTCGACCTTCCAAAGTGCTGAAACCACAGGCGTGAGCCACCGTGCCCAGATGATTCAGGCTGATTCTAAATAAAAAATGGACCTGCCCTGGTAGAGTTCCAGAATTGGGATTACCTGCTCTTGGGTAAGAGAAAGGACAACAATACTCTCCTCCAGTATCACATTTTTACACATAGATATAGCTGTGGTTATGGCTCTGGATGCTTCATAGTCTTGATCTTTTAAGATGCTAGCTTACGCTTAAAGATTCTGCCATCAGATTCTCTTTACCCTTAGAGCCTGTCACAGAACTGGTCACTGAACAAGACCTGAAAACTCAAAGAGCCACACTCTCAAAGGGAGGCTTTAAGATGTCTGTGTTGACATCTTGCAATGCAGAAAATGCCTCCTCTTAGTTTCCTATACATTTTCTATCCAAAATCTACCTTGTGTCTTGTAAATCCCAGGCAGAGGCCAGAACTTATGTGAAGATTCTAGGTGGGATTAACCTCACTCTGCATCTTTGGGTGTTACAGCAAGTAAAGTACTATCAAAAGAGAGATCCCCTCACGTTATGTCCCTGGGTGACAATGCAAGACTCTCTCTTAAAAAAAAAAGAAAAAAGAAAAACAAGTGAATTTGTAAAATCAGAAAAAAAGATAACAGGGTGAACTGATAAAAAGTTGTTTTGTGGCCAGGCACAGTGGCTTACACATGTAATCCCAGCACTTTGGGAGGCCAAGGCAGGTGGAACATCTGAGGTCAGGAGTTTGAGACCAGCCTGGCCAAAATGGTGATACCTGGTCTCTACTAAAGTTACAAAAATTGGCCAGGCATGGTAGCAGGCGCCTGTATTTCCAGCTACTTGGAAAGGCTGAGGCAGAAGAATCACTTGAACTTGGGAGGCAGAGGTTGTAGCGAGCTGAGATCACCACTGCACTCCAGCCTGGAAGACAAAAGTAAGACTTTGTCTCAAGAAAAGAAAAATAAAAACAAAAATAAGGCTGGGCATGGTGGCTCATGCCTCTAATCTCAGCACTTTGGGAGGCTGAGGTGGGTGGATCACCTAAAGTCAGGAGTTTGAGACTAGCCTGACCAAGATAGTGAAACCCTGTCTCTACTAAAAATACAAAAAATTTAGCTGAGAGTGGTGGCAGTTACCTGGAATTCCAGCTACTCAAAAGGCTGAGGCAGAAGAACTGCTTGAACCCGAGAAGCGGACGTTGCAGTGAGTCAAGATTGCACCACTGCACTCCAGCCTGTGCGACAGAGTGAGACTCTGTCTTAAAAAAAAAGTTGTTTCTCAGGCAGTCTTTTTTATTTTTTTTTTCTTTTGGTCATTAGTGATCATTAGTTTATTATAAAAGAGAGATATGAAAATTATTTACATGATGAAAGATTTTAGAACTTAAGTAGAATGGACTGCATCACGTTGATGCCATTTCAAAAGTGATTTCAGTCTACGTCCTCTAAGAATGTGACCATCTCTAAATAGGAAATAATTCTTGTCACCTACAACTACTTTAATGTCTCCAAATTCTGGGAGAAGAACTTTAACTGGTTGAATCTCTCCGCCCTTTCCTTTAGAACCTGATCCAACAGTGACTACTGTTGCTTGCAATACTTTTCCTTAAAATTTTCCTGGAGACATAATGCCTCCATGGGTTAGTTTCAGCAGCACTCCTTTCAACAAATAGTCAGAAAGTGGAAGAAACAGAAAGTCTTCTTTATTTAAAGAAATAACTT